TATTGTTTTATTATTCATAAAGATACCTGGTGAACTAATTGCAAGTTCGCAGCTGTCTTTATGTAACATCAAATTACTTCATTTCTGCAGTGAAATTGCGATGTCGCCTGTCAATTTTTTTGCGATGGAGCGACAGAAACCATTTCACAACTCCCATGCGTCATTAGGAACCATTATTAGGGTCTTGTTTTAGAACTACCGATTTAGGATTTTAATTTCGTATTTTAACTTGCCTTGAGTAAGAGTTATTTGCATGGTAAATTTTACATTATTTATGCCTTATGCAACATAATGATGGCATAAATTTGAAATGAACTTACTTATAAAGAGAGTTTCACACCGTCTGTAGCTTTCAAAACAGTCCAAAATGTATAAGGAAGTGAATTTCGTCTCGCGGTACTCTAACAGAATACTATCGGAAATTCTCTCTACCTAGAGAAGTCTATATGAATCTTATTGCCATAATGACGCCTTATAAGTGTGTGGTTTACTAGGGACATATGGATAAAAACATGATCGTACTCATCGATAGCGAAAGGCACTTTATTAGCAGAGGAAAGACTCTGTTCACTGGCTGTGTGTTATCGATGAACGTGAGATAAATTCAACGTTTGAATGATAATTACCACATCCGGTGAAGACTTCACATTGAAAAATATTATCTGGCGGTGTTAGCGAATACTTCCGAATGTCGTAAAAGCCTTAGCTGTTTGGTATTTTTGTGATAGACCACATTAAAAATCCTGTGGGTTTTTTTTTATTTTCAACATAATTGAAACGACGACCTCTAAAGGGAAAATAGTGATAATTCATTATGCGGATTGTCCGGCGACCTGCAAACAATGCTATTCTATTATATTTATCAATCTTTTCAGCGTAGAATAAAAAAGAAAAAAAAATAAACAAAGAGAAGACAGCCTCTTGCGGCCAGTCATTTTCTGTTAAGATTCAAATTGTATAAAAAGAACATGATTTTTTCGGATTCTGAGAAAATGGCTGTTTTTGTATCAATGTCGAAACTTCTCGGCAGTACACGTACGTGTCATGAACATTTTAATACAAACATCTGACGGAGCAGAAGTAGAACATTTTGTATTTAGCGGAGTAGAAGTGACGATTTATGCATGTATACATTGTTACGCATTTTTAACCAATTTAAGCTAAAGGTCACTATTCTTTTTCAAAAAAATCTGAAAGTTAAATAAATCATTTATTGCCGAGATATGTTTTACTCTCAATACTGTTAGCGAAATAATTGAAGAACATATTTGAACAGTCGGCTCGCGTTCTTCATCGCTGAGTTTTTCTACAAAAAATTAGCATGCACTATCCAGTTCTGATCACGTAAAATTTACCAGAATTTATCTGCATTCGTAACTCGGATTTGCTTACGTATTTGAAAAAAAACGGTTCAAGAAGCAAAGTGAGGCAACTACTCATTCTTTATAAAAACTCAGCAATTTTAGCATTGATTTTATATAGACTACAGATCAATTACTCGTGCCTCATTTCACAATCTTGAGTAAGTAACTTATGTTCATGTTTAGAGTCCCTCAGGCAGGTTTCCCCTTTTTGTGTGTTGATTAACACACAGAGATTACAAGTAGTAATATCACCTGACTCAGAAGAGCCCATTGAAAATATTAATTATTTTGAAAAAAAATTTCAGTGGAATTTTTATCTGTATATATGCAAAATCACACTTACATAACATAATTACTGACAAAAATTTATTTAATGACAAGTATAATAATTGAGTTTTTACATGTAAAGGGAACATACTATTCGAAAAAAAGTATAATGGCAATAAAATGATTTATCGATTCTTCTCCGTTGTAAATATGAAAATAAAAACTTGCCACAACTTTCCTTGTCTCAGGTATTTTGTTTCTTCTATGTAAAATTATCTTATATCTTTTGGTAATTAACATCAATATTACCATAAGCCTATTGATGCTAAGTTGACCAAGGTATTACTACATAAAGCAGTTCGATAAATTATCAGAGTACAGCTTGCACGTGTGAATCCATGCAACTGAAACAAAAATAAATCAAAGAAAAATTTTCTCATGTCTCAATTAATTTGAAAAAAAAAATAATTGCTTTCAACTACATGATCACGTAAGGATAATATTATTATACAGAGAGAGTCTAAAGAAGTAAACATTTCTATATTGTTTGAACAAAATAGAAAATATCTATTGAAAATTAAGTCAATAATGTCAAAAAAATATTTTCTTTGAATGCTTCAACTNTTGTTTACAGTTACAGTCAATGACGAAGCTAGGAAAAAAATTCAACATGCCTTTTCTATATCAGTTGTTTTAATCCACGCCTTAGGTCATATCACGAGCCAATGTTTTTTCTTTCGTACTTATAAATAGCGGGGCCATTATGAGAATTTTCACACTACACCAGCAATGAATAACGGAGGGAATTATCAACATTTCCTTTGTCAGTTGTTTGTCAGTCACACCTGGACTGTGAGTTGCCTATCATGAACTCCAAATCCGATTTGTTCACCTGGCGTCTTCTTTTCTTTCTCTTTCTTTCTTTCTTTCTTTTTTTGGTCTGTTTTCGAGTTAGATAAGCCCATTTGGAATTTGACATCATTTGCTAATGATTCAGTTCCAGTTTTAGATAACGAGACAAATATTGTTTAGGCGAACGCTACGATATTTGCTTATCGCTAATGACAGGAAGGCATATTTAGAAAAAGAACTTCCGTTTGGCAAGTCGTGATTCAATACAGGAGAAATTCGCTTGAAGAAATATTGCCTTACTTTGCGGCATTAATTTTGTTCATGTTTTGCTTGATCATCGTAGGAACAGAAGCATCTTTGAACAACTGCTTTCCTCTAAAAGAAACCTCCCAGTAATTAGCCAATTTCCGTCATATGGTTATACTTTCAGCAGCCATCGAAGGGTCCTGTCAGATGAAATCCGTCTTGTTAGCTTAAAACAACACAGGTTGACTTTCCAACTAACATTCGCCTTTTCTTTATTGGCTTCCCCAGAAGTGCTTCCCGCAGCTTCACAGTACCTCAGGCCATTTTCCTATTTTATGCATGCAATGTGATCCCTTTTAGACATATCTGAAACAACATCAGTAAGAGCAAGGCCAGCCGAGAGTGTCTGACCTTCGTTCCGATTACAATAACAATGGTGAATGCTTTCGAAAGTTTTTTTTTTTAGACGGCAGGAAGTCTTTTTCGTTTGTGGTTTCGAACGTTGTGGCCACGTGGGCAACTGAAAATACGGAGATGTCAACATTTGTTCTTGATATTTTCCTTGAATGAATTACTATCTCTCCCGAGCTTCGCCTACTCCTTCAAGCCCCATGTCACCATTTCAAACGTTATACGACCCTATACATGTAGTGGGAGAGTATCATTCACTAAGCTCTTCAATTTCTTCGACTCTACGGGGGCAGCTGACGGTCATTTAAACTAAACTGGCATTAGTAACGCTAGAGACCCTGCCTTGTCTGAAAATGTACGCGTAGGAGTCCCGGAGGAGTCTGATATCTATAATTATTTTCTTTACAAACCTCAAATGAAAGGAAATTTCAAGATCCACATATCTTCACGTAAAAATTGCTGCTTTTAACCTATCTAAAATAACCAAATTACTAGCCAAATGTCAGATCTTCCGTTTATTACCCAGTATATAAATGCCAAAGTGCGCTCTAATCGACTCTAAGCTCGAACGCCCAGCAACGTTGATTATACTGAACAACAAGCGTGACCCCGCGAGTTCTTTGGAAGGATAACGAAATGCATTGCGTCGTTGTTTCTTGAGGGAGGGTCTTGATTGGCGCTCGTTGCGGACGCCCACCAACTGTATGAGGCCTTGAGTTAGGACAAGCTTGAATGATTTCGGCTGTGTGTGAAACTGGGCGAATACGAATTGGACCATGATGAAGAATCGATCGAAACCGTCACTCAGACTTAACAGTATTATGTTTTTTTTGTTTTTTTTTTTTCATGCAAAGCTCGGAGAGACAGAGAGCGAGGCATTAGAGTAAACGGCGTGTCGAGTTTCATGAAACTGATAAAATATTTTGACCACTTCGTTGCACGTAGAAAACTGAAGCGGAAAAGTCTTTCAGTCGAACATGTCCAAGTTCAGGCGAGATAAATTTGGTCGGCATTGCTGCTGCTTGCTGGGGAGAATCGCTTGTCATAACAACATATTTGGATTTCCCTTCTCCGGCCACTGCATTTTAAAAACGTGACGGGTGTCCCTCTCACCGATAAAAAGGACTCCAAAATTCTGCTAACTTTTGTGCTTACTCTTGGCTTTATTCGTCTTGAAATGTATCTCGAAATATTCTAGGATAATGAAGGATGAACAAAAGATCAAGCCAATATTGTTGTCTGCATTCTGAGCGCAGTCATTGTTCAACTGTTTGCATTTGTGAAACTCATAAGACGAAGATAGGAAACCGCGCTTCAGGACTTCCGTCTTCCGCTGATTAATCGACCGTGTTCATCTGATAACTTTCAAATTACGAGACATACAGAAAAATCTCATGAGATATTTATTTCTTGAGCACATGGGTCCCTCTTTTTGTGCCTTTCGCCTGAACTCACGTTTAACGTAACGATCGAAAACTCAGACGAATCCACCTTGTTCTGGTCGTTTCCAGAAGTTTGCGCTGCGTGACATTGTGGCAACTTAGTAAGGGAGGTGTGTGTAGTTCCTGTCGGTTTCTTTAGCACTTGGTTTGAGTCCCAGCGACTAGCAAGACTTTTAAAATTTTCCACGGTATATATCACAGTTAAAGCTTACAACTTGTTAAATGAAGTGTTTATTTGAGGCGTTTTAGAGAGTACTAGTCAACACCCCAGTTGCCCTCTCTCCTGCGTTGCATAATCATTGAATCAGTGACGTGTTTACTTGCGTCTCAACTTCCGTCCGCGCCCAATATTTACCCTCGAGCAGTTCTATTGTCGCTTCTGTGACGATGCGCTATGTTCATTCATTATCTCGATCTAAAGTTAGCGTGTGTCAGCCGACGTTGAAGCAAATGTTTAGCGAAGGTTTTCTTAATTGAACGAACGGGAAGACTGCCTAACAGACACACAACTTCACGGTCCTCTTCATAAGAGTACTGATTTTGACATTTCTCTGTACCTCAGTTCAGTGCCATATTTGTGTAGATGGCGTGTTTTCGGATGCCAATTGTGTCGTTTGTAGTTATTCTGGCTTTTCTCTGCCCACTGCGAGGTAAGTGGCTAGAGTTCCAAGTGATTTTGTGCCCTGTGGCGGGTATTACTAGCCGTAGCTTAGGGTATGGATTATTACGTATATTTAACAGAGTTCGCACATTACCCAAAATGTTTATGCTGCGGCAGATGATGAGTTGTTATTATTCGGGCATACTCATTTTATTGAGTATGAAGTTTAATTATTGTGAGTTCATGACACTTGCAAGGCCGCTACCTTTTGATTGCCAAGATGTTCACTTTTTGTTCGATTGCTAGATCCCAAAGTCCAGATTCTAACAATCCCTGTATGAAATGTCACCATAGCAAGGGAAATGGACAACTTCGTGCAATTCCACGGGTTGCCACTTTCAAGGTTCATGTCATTAATTTATTGTTTTATTATTCATAAAGATACCTGGTGAACTAATTGCAAGTTCGCAGCTGTCTTTATGTAACATCAAATTACTTCATTTCTGCAGTGAAATTGCGATGTCGCCTGTCAATTTTTTTGCGATGGAGCGACAGAAACCATTTCACAACTCCCATGCGTCATTAGGAACCATTATTAGGGTCTTGTTTTAGAACTACCGATTTAGGATTTTAATTTCGTATTTTAACTTGCCTTGAGTAAGAGTTATTTGCATGGTAAATTTTACATTATTTATGCCGTATGCAACATAATGATGGCATAAATGTGAAATGAACTTACTTATAAAGAGAGTTTCACACCGACTGTAGCTTTCAAAACAGTCCAAAATGTATAAGGAAGTGAATTTCGTCTCGCGGCACTCTAACAGAATACTATCGGAAATTCTCTCTACCTAGAGAAGTCTATATGAATCTTATTGCCATAATGACGCCTTATAAGTGTGTGGTTTACTAGGGACATATGGATAAAAACATGATCGTACTCATCGATAGCGAAAGGCACTTTATTAGCAGAGGAAAGACTCTGTTCACTGGCTGTGTGTTATCGATGAACGTGAGATAAATTCAACGTTTGAATGATAATTACCACATCCGGTGAAGACTTCACATTGAAAAATATTATCTGGCGGTGTTAGCGAATACTTCCGAATGTCGTAAAAGCCTTAGCTGTTTGGTATTTTTGTGATAGACCACATTAAAAATCCTGTGGGTTTTTTTTTATTTTCAACATAATTGAAACGACGACCTCTAAAGGGAAAATAGTGATAATTCATTATGCGGATTGTCCGGCGACCTGCAAACAATGCTATTCTATTATATTTATCAATCTTTTCAGCGTAGAATAAAAAAGAAAAAAAAATAAACAAAGAGAAGACAGCCTCTTGCGGCCAGTCATTTTCTGTTAAGATTCAAATTGTATAAAAAGAACATGATTTTTTCGGATTCTGAGAAAATGGCTGTTTTTGTATCAATGTCGAAACTTCTCGGCAGTACACGTACGTGTCATGAACATTTTAATACAAACATCTGACGGAGCAGAAGTAGAACATTTTGTATTTAGCGGAGTAGAAGTGACGATTTATGCATGTATACATTGTTACGCATTTTTAACCAATTTAAGCTAAAGGTCACTATTCTTTTTCAAAAAAATCTGAAAGTTAAATAAATCATTTATTGCCGAGATATGTTTTACTCTCAATACTGTTAGCGAAATAATTGAAGAACATATTTGAACAGTCGGCTCGCGTTCTTCATCGCTGAGTTTTTCTACAAAAAATTAGCATGCACTATCCAGTTCTGATCACGTAAAATTTACCAGAATTTATCTGCATTCGTAACTCGGATTTGCTTACGTATTTGAAAAAAAACGGTTCAAGAAGCAAAGTGAGGCAACTACTCATTCTTTATAAAAACTCAGCAATTTTAGCATTGATTTTATATAGACTACAGATCAATTACTCGTGCCTCATTTCACAATCTTGAGTAAGTAACTTATGTTCATGTTTAGAGTCCCTCAGGCAGGTTTCCCCTTTTTGTGTGTTGATTAACACACAGAGATTACAAGTAGTAATATCACCTGACTCAGAAGAGCCCATTGAAAATATTAATTATTTTGAAAAAAAATTTCAGTGGAATTTTTATCTGTATATATGCAAAATCACACTTACATAACATAATTACTGACAAAAATTTATTTAATGACAAGTATAATAATTGAGTTTTTACATGTAAAGGGAACATACTATTCGAAAAAAAGTATAATGGCAATAAAATGATTTATCGATTCTTCTCCGTTGTAAATATGAAAATAAAAACTTGCCACAACTTTCCTTGTCTCAGGTATTTTGTTTCTTCTATGTAAAATTATCTTATATCTTTTGGTAATTAACATCAATATTACCATAAGCCTATTGATGCTAAGTTGACCAAGGTATTACTACATAAAGCAGTTCGATAAATTATCAGAGTACAGCTTGCACGTGTGAATCCATGCAACTGAAACAAAAATAAATCAAAGAAAAATTTTCTCATGTCTCAATTAATTTGAAAAAAAAAATAATTGCTTTCAACTACATGATCACTTAATGATAATATTATTATACAGAGAGAGTCTAAAGAAGTAAACATTTCTATATTGTTTGAACAAAATAGAAAATATCTATTGAAAATTAAGTCAATAATGTCAAAAAAATATTTTCTTTGAATGCTTCAACTTTTCATCTACGTGACTACTTAAATAGAATCATACAATTTTTAGTGCTTGAGGATGTGCTCTGACAGGTGAATAATGACATTTCAAGCAGAACTTACGCAAACATGTCAATTTAGTAGATATACAAAATTTCATACATGGTTTGAGAACCATTGTTGTCAGTAAATTTGTGATAAATCTTTTAATGACCAGTGATTGCTGTAAAGCTAAACATTATAATTCAATTTTCCACACCCACAGAACAGGATTAAATATTAGCTGATGGCATTATCACGTACACTGTACATGCATCTGCTCGCGAAAACTATTAGGCTGACATTGTCACTTTGTCATGTTAACGCTTCGGACAGTTGAACTTACAGTATACCACAATAAATTGTAGTGGGAGGTTCTTGATATGGGACCCAAAAACTGCTGCAATTAAATTTAGAGCCCTGTTAATAAGTGTATGCAGTATGCACTGACTATCTGTTAAAATATGGTATCAAAATTTCTCCTGAGTAATTTTCATAAAACTACTTCATTACTACATAGATGTTTTAAATTATTGTCGAAATGGCACCTAACACTTAATATTCTGTATTTGTAGTACTCACAGATGATACCGAGTTCAGTCTCCTTGAGCCTCTGGATACTCGGCCGAATCGTTACATACTTGCTGCACTTGGATACTCTGTAGATCTTAACTGTCAATTAAACGACCCATTAGTTGATGTGCATCTAATACAAGAGAAAAAGCCAACAGGGTCAACTAAAACAATTGAACTTGAAAGGGCTCCAGATGGAATCAAAGTTACACAGAGTGGACAAATATTTACCATAAACAATGTTGAAGAATCTGATAGAGGGACATATCATTGTAAAGTTCAGTCAACAGTTTTAAAGATAGAGAAAATTTACCCTGCCAAATATGGATCAACACAAGGTAATCAGTTTGTTTGTAATATGTTGAGATAATGCTCATTTCTTACTTTTGACAACTTGGAAATGTTCATGTACATGTACATGTAGTTTGTAAAGACTGGATTGACCAACATTTGCAAAGTCAGTATATTATACATGAATTGTAAACATTTTATAAATGTTAATGTCATACATACCCCTTGCACAGCTGCTGCAAAAAAATAATGAATTAGACTACAAGCCTGACTTTTCTAGAGGGAACAGTCAATGCAGCATAGCCGAGTTGAATAACTGTCATTGAAAACGAGGGTCTAATTGTTTTTCAATTAGTAGAGACTCTAAAGGACTACAGCACAAAATCTACAATTTCATGTATTAAATTAAGCCTAAAATTAAGAATAATTTTCAGTTTCAATAGTAGCACAGGTAATTGTTGTCTATCAGTGAATAGATATGTATAACCGATGAGAGAAGCAATCAGATTCACAGACTTTTCCAATAGAGCACAGTAAGTTATATGCAACTGTTTACAACTTCTCTTTAGATAGAACTTAACCCATACAAATGGGCACATTATACTTATTTATTAAGTACAAAATAGTGGTGGATATTATTGGATGAATACCATTGAGTGGTAATTACCACAGAATCTCGGAATATCCCATAATATAAGTTGGGAAGTGAGATATTCCATAGATATGACAGTAATATATTACCATGAGAAGGTGTAAGCATAACCATTTTATACCATATGTCATAGAAAATACAGTGGCCAACAAAATCTGTCCAGCTCCCACAATGGGATGGTTGGGCATACACATTCGAGTATATAACAACTTTCAATGATTTTGATTGGTTGTATTATCTATGGCATGGTATAAAATGAAATTATACATAAATTGATGTTTTTAGTGATAATATTACTTTGCTGTAGTCTTTCTATTTCACTAACCGAGTATTGCTATTGGTTTTTTTTTAGAAAGTTATATTTCTTCACATTCTATACTTCCAAGAAACAACTCAGTGAGTGAAGGAGAAAGTACCACCTTCACCTGCAATGTAACAGGAAAAGGCATTAAAAACGTGGAATGGTTCAAAGACAAAATGAGACTTCCTAGCACATTTTATCAATCTGGCAACAGCTATATTAGTGATCTTCAATTAACAGCAGTAACTGTTTCTCAAGCTGGTGCTTTTGAGTGTCGAACGACTGTTGTTCCCACACGGTTCAAAGGCTACCAAGTTAAAACAGGAATGTTGTTCATCAAAGGTAACTGGACCGTGTTTGGGTGATTTAGATCAGTTGCATATTTTTATTAAGTTGACTGATATTGTCAAGTTAAAGAAAAATTTTATTATGAATAGTCAGTGTGGAGACTATTATACTCTTCTTCATTAAATTAATATTCTTTGCAAATCATATTTATCTCAGAATTTCACTTCCTTGCCAAGAAGAGACCATATCAGAGACTGTTTGTTGGTGACCCTGTGACAATTAATTGCAAGACAAATGACCAAAAGGCATCACCCTCAAGTTTATGGGTGAGGAAAGATACAAATCCAGCCCAGGAAATTGTCCCAAATGGTGGAACAATTACACGGAGGGGCAACAGATTTTACTTTAGCAGTTTAGCACTGGATAATGCTGGTCTCTACACGTGTGAAGCTACTTTGCCAATCATAAATAAGACCATTGAAATGGGGGTCACAAGTTTGTTGGTCTTCACAGGTAACTGATCATGAACAGAAGCAATACTATATTGATATACCATTAGTATGGAATAACAGTTCACCAGGCAAATTGACTGGCTGTGGATGCAGACAATTTTGCCCGTCTAGTTTGACCACTTAGAGGAAAGTTTTTCTAAAAAGAGGTCCAGTTCAAAACGTTTTTCCTGCTTGTGAAAACCAGTTGCCCTCCAGCTGAAAATGTAAATGAAACCCCTGGATCAAAAGTGAGACAATGAAAAAAACTTCTCCAAATTAGAGTTTCAATTTCAGAAGTTGGTCTCAAGCCCTGAGCAGATTATTGCAATGTTTGTTGTATTAGGTCATTATTATAATGATAACTGTCTGTAAGGTTACTGGCCTAAAATGTAAAGTTCTATGTAGACTACCTTTGTTAGTGAAAAGACATATAAAAAATTCAAACTTCCAATCATTATCAACCCTGGAGCACAACCCATGTTTTTTTCTCTCTCTCAAGTGTTAAATACCAGTTGTGTTTCTATATTGTTACCAGGTGACAACAGAAATCCTCAAGCTCAAGTGTACCCTTTGGATAAAGAAGCCCTTCATGGGCACGACTATAATTTTTCATGTCAGGTTCCTGGTGATGGCATCTCTATAAAATGGTTAAAAGATGGTGTAGACATTCCAAGTTATAAAACACACAGGCAACCAAACAAGATGATAAGAGGACTCAACTTTAATGAAGACATTCTGATGTTAAAGAACGTCTCAAGGGTAGATGTTGGCAACTATACTTGTGTTGTTACAACATCACAAAACCAAGGTTATTCTAGTAAAGTCACTGCCAGACTCTTATCTGTTAAAGGTATGTCGGCTGACAGGGTCACTGCACAAACTTTACAAATTACAAATTTATTTAGATGGAATAACTGATATCCAAACACAAGTTACATTTCAGCATCTTAATAATAATAATAATAATCGCATATTTCCTCAGGATAACCCTTCAGTACAAAGTACTGTTATCAACGGGGTCCTGCTAAGAATTAAAAACTAATAAACAAGAATTATTAAGATATAAAAAATAAGATACATATTAAAAACCGTTAAAAATACAATAGAAATTACAAGTAATAATCGTCTAAGGCTTTCCTAAATAAAACTCTAGAATTAATGTTTCTTAAACTTAAAGGCAATAAATTAAAAATCGAGGCACCTAAGAAATAAAAGCTACATTCTTACATTAAGTTTTGTACACACATAGAATGTTCTTCAGAGGGGTGGTGGCCTCATGGTTAGTGGCTCAACTCCTGATCAGGTGGTCTGGGTTTGAGCCCTAGCCAGGTATGTTGTGTTGTGTTCTTGGGCAAGACACTTCACTCTCACAGTGCCTCCCTCTACCCAGGTGTATAAATGGGCACCACCTAATTTAATTCTAGGGATAACTCTGCAATGGACTAGCATCCCATTCAGAGGGTAGTAGAAATGCTCCTAGTCGCTACATGCTACTCAGAAACCAGAGATAAGCGCCAAACTGATGGGTCACTTGGCTCACATGCAGAAGTTTCATTTTACCTTTCATGTGAGAGAGCAACTGTTATTGAATGATGTTCTGTACTGCTCTTCACAGAGTGTCTTGATCCTGACAACAATGAAAAGTTTGCTCACCCAACTGATATCTATGGCTACTATGAATGCATACAAGGGGTTCCTGTGAAGAAAAATTGTCCTGTAACGTACAAATGGAACGAAGTGGAGAAAGTCTGCAAGCATCCACTATGTAAGCTTCAACTATAAAATTTATGTCTGTAATGCTCTAGTATCAGATACATATATAGTACACCTTTCCTTCATTTTATTATTTTCAGGTCTGCCCTCGTTATTAATAGTGGACTTTCTTGGCTTTTGTGCTCAATGACAGTGGGAGTTTTAATATTCTAGAAAAGAGGCCCAATAGCTATGCTGCTCTTTTTTCTGAAATAATATACTTACTCTAGTCTAGTCTAGTCTCTAATCTAGTCTAGTCTAGTTTAGTGTAGTTTAGCATTATTTTTGCCATAATATATATACAGGGAAGCCAATAAGGCTTATGTAAAGCACTACCTTAAGAGATACCCAAGACTTTTAAAACAAGAAAAAATGCTGTCATCAGCAGGACAATTAAATTTAAATGTATGGAGACATATATGCATCTTTTCCAACTCACATATTATACTGTAACAACCACCACAAAGAGCCCCCCAAAATTTGTTGCTTCTTGCTGCCCCACACCCACTTCTGAACACTTAAGTTAACTTACTTTCAAAGTTACAAATGTCAGCTGCTCCCAAGATGGAATAGGTTCATGCATGGACTTGTACATTGTACACTTTGTTGATCCAAGAGTCTAAAGGGCAATCGATTTTTAAAATGCACGGCAGTATCTTAATTACTCTCCCCACTTCATGCAAATTAAAAAAGACAACTTTCATGTGACAGTGTACCTTGCTATTTTACAGCATGGCTAGTTGACCACGACAGCAGAACTCATTATCTCATCCCAGGAGTGGCCTTCTTGTTGGACTGCCGTCTTAATAATCCAAATGTCTCAGTTGAACTACACAGGAAAAAGCTAGGCGAGCAAAGATTTCAAAGAGTTGATCTGCGGATGGACAGATTTGTTAAACAAAATGGCCAGAATTTCACAATAACTGGCCTCCCTTCTAAGGGCCAGTTCAGATTTCAATGCAGGACTGCTGGGCAGGCTGGTACACATGTTCTTCCGAAGGAAGTGAGAATTGAAAGAGCTCAAGGTTTGAAGCAGCCGTGATTTGAACATTGTTACAGACATGCATATTTATGCAAGTTAGGTTCTTAATGAATAAAGAAGAAAAGGTGCTTGATGCTAGTTCAAGAACTAGTCTATATGGGTATTGGTCTTTTCTTTTGACTGTACTAAGTTTAGGTTTCACTAACGTTTGACGTAGAAAAGCACCCATAGGAGAGAAGCTAGGAAGAAGAGAACATTTGAAGTAAATTTCTTCATGTGCAATATGAAAGAAATTCACTGGTACCAACTCTTGTTTTTCCTGGTAGTGGTAGCTGGGCCTTCGAATTATAGTTGCCCTAAACCATAAGTAACTTAGAATTATGTCTTAAAACTAAGACTATATTCCAAGCAAATACAAATCCTGCTCTACAATGAGTACAATACTATTATTTGTGTACAGTATGTCAAACTGTTATTGTGAAATTCGTGACAATTTGAATAACCTAATCACCATGCATGTATAAGGACTTTTCTTTTTTATTTTTTTTCCAAATTTTCCCAGGAAAACCTGTTAACTCTTACGCTTTTTAGCCTAGACGTTCTTTACTGCCAGGTAGATAAACATAGGTTTTTTACGGTATTGGGAGTTTAGCGCAATACAGTAAGTTTAAGTTTAACGCTACAACTTACAATGTGCACAGAAACACTTTTCAACTTGCAAATGTGGCCAGCGAGTTGTATAAAAAGTTTCCCCCTTCTTGCTGACCATTTCAATCGAACCACACAAACCATATATGTTACATCAATCTAATTTTGTGATAATCATTGTGCTGTATATCTGTTTTTGTGGCAGATTTCATGCAAAATGTTTTTGTTGAAACAATTCCTTCATGTTTCCGTGGTCCACTGGATACAAACGACTCCATCGATATAGTCTGCCATGTACTTCATTATGGAGATGTCAAATGGTTTAAATTAGATCAAGAAATTACAGGCTCAAGAGTGAAAAAAAGTCCAAAATACCGCGATAGCCGCACGGGTCACTGGGAATGGAACAGTACTTTGATGCTTCGTAATGTAAGAAGAAGCGATGCGGGAGCTTACGTCTGTTCGAAAAGCAATGGATATAATAAGACAGCTAATGTCACTGTTTTCATTGATGTTGCAGGTAAGCGCAAAGCTCTACAACGCGTTTAAGCTTATAAAATGTTAAATAAATAGGCTTAAGTAAGCTCAAGCCCGTATCAAGACAGAAAAGAATTCAGGGCACTGATATATGTAAGCCCAAGGTTTCGTCTCGCAATGGGAGAAAGTGATACCCTGCACTTCTGTACAAAGTCAAGTTTAAAAAATTATCCACATAAGCTCAAGTGTTTTTAAGCTTACGTTTATAATAAGCTACCTGTGTTGGAGACTGCAATTATTTTCGCAAATTTCCAGTGTATGTCTCTCAGGGTGGTTTTTAACTTCAGAATCGTTTGAAGTTGCCTTTGATTCGATACTTAGTATCGCTGTGGTTTGACTTATTCTGTGCCCCGACTAACACAGTCCCAAAATGGCGACATTTTAGCGAAACTGGGCGGTAGTGCGTCACGTGATCCCTATGATATGGTACAGTTTTGCTATTTTTAGAACAAATTGCGCCATCGCATGCGGCACACGGGCGTACATGCTGCGAGCATTTTTGCTGATGTAGCGCCTGGGAAATAGATTCCGAAATTCCCGAAATCTTTGATGTTTTTGGTCCCAACTCAACGGTTTATGTCTGTTGGAATTTTGCTTTTAAAAGTATTTTCGCCGTAAGCTACTCCAATCTGAGTGAAGTAAGACAGTATCGAATTTAGGTATGTCCCGCTTTATATCGCTGACCAAATTGTGTTCCGCTGCTTCTTTTACAAGAGCTCCACAATGTACTCCACGCTAAATTTCACATATGTTGAAGATTAACAGCTTTTCCACAACACAGCGAAAATCTAGCTGGATATAATTGGATATAGCAGCATTTCAGGACTTCAAAGTTTCCCTCCTTTTACCACATGCTTGCGGGAATTTTGCAAGAGTCTCTCGCGCCCGAAAAGTAAAAAAAAAAATGCAAGTTTGAGTTTTGCCTGAATTGTAAGCAACGCTTGATGTTTCATCAAGGCCCAATAAGTTTAGGTCTGTAGATACTGCTCAGTTTTGTTTGTGTAAAAACCCAATAAACTGTCTTTTGTCCATGATATTATTATTATTAATATTATTATTAACATTATTATTATTATTAATAATATTATTAACATTGTTATTATTATTATTATTATTATTACTTTTATTTTTATTATTATTATGCGTGTTTTGTACTATCAGTAAACATGGCAAATTGGACTTCCGCACTTTTGTGTGAACTTTTGGCTTTGGTCAAAATTGTTGCAGTATCTCAGCACGAAAGATAACCAAAGAAATCTTTGTCAAGATTTGTTGACAGTCGAAAACACCGGCTTGGGCTCTGAAAGTGCATGCGCTGCACTATGCAAATGAGCTACCTAATGTGCGCGTCAGACTTTCCTTTCAAAAACTTTTGCAAACTTGCCAAACAAGGAGAAACAATAAGAAACTATCAAAAACAAGTTTTGGTTATGATTAAGCATTGTTTGAGAAACTCACAAATTAACTCGATACCAGAGTAGAGAGTTTTCTTACATAAGGTTTATTCTTAAGTCAGAACAAACGCAAAAGCTTTATACGCGAACAACTAGCGCGAGCAGATATTACTCAATCACAGCGAGAAATTGAAGTCTTTTTTTCGACCCTGAAAAACTCACCTTGTCGATTAGCTCAGAGAATAAAACTACATATAAGCGCCCTTGTTCTTATTCCCTGCCTTTGCTCTGAAAAATCCGCAAGAGAATCTCGCAACTCTAGTCATTTGATCACGCAACAGGACAACATCCACGCGAGAACCCACCTAATGTGCGTGGATCCGCGCGGATATGTGTCGTCAGGGTGGCGCAATTTGTTCTGAAAATAGCAAAATTGTCTCATATCATAGGTGCGCGCGGATCCCATTGATTGTGGCTCCTGACGATTGTGGATTGTGACGATTGTGGCTCCTGATTTTAATCAATCGGCGCAAACTGTTTGATTTACTCAATGGCGAGCTAGAAATTTCGGAACTTCTGAAACGGTCGTAAATGTGTACGTAATGGGACGGAAATTTCCGGAGAAAGGCTCCCGGAAAATCCTAGAATTGCTAAATTTTCGAAATTCGAAGCAGAAATACCAGAGGTATTTATATACAGTGAAACCTGTATTATGCGGACCCCATATTAAGCGGACACCCTCTCTTAAGTGGGCATCAGCTGAAGTCCCAAAATTTTCTTCCCACATTTACTGTAAAATAAACCTGCATTCAGCGGACACCTCTGTTAAGCGGACGAGGACACCAATAAAATAAGCCATTTTGTTGCACAAAACCTGCAATAAGCGGACACTTCAAGGGCTTTTTACTTCTAAAAGTTCAGCTGAGACTCCTTTAACACTGTTCAGCGATGTCATGTTAAAGCTAAGTAGATTATACCAGATTGATGCTTTGATTGTCTGAACATTGTGTTATGAGCAGTTTTTGATATCACACTGATCTACACTGTGTTACAAAAGAGTTAATAATTAGCTATTATTGCACAATATATTAGAACCTGTTTTGAGCGGACACCCTGTATTAAGCGGACACTAATGGGGGTCCCAAGGGTGTCCGCTTAATTCAGGTTTCACTGTACTTAACGAAACTATTGGAAAGTCAGTATACCATCTGCGTTTTCCCTCTATTTCCGTAGATCACGCAGATGGTTTTCCATATTTATGAGTACCTTTTAACTATATTTTATGCAATGAAGATGTATCAATGATTTACGATGTTGAATTAATTTTCAGAACCCTCACCTGCAAGAGTATCTGGCCAAATGCAATCCCCGCAAGCTGTAATGGAGGATTCCAATGCCAGATTTCTGTGCACCGTAAGTGGATCTCCCCGTCCTACGGTGAAGTGGCTGAAGGGAACAGAAACTGTCGCCGTGTGCGAAGGCAAACAACATGGCAGCTGTAGAATCACAGCCACAGAAGGTTCGAAATACAAATCTTATTGGCGGGACGAGAGGACGTGCATGGTACAACACTCGAATGGACCAACCAGCGGCAGATGGAGCAGTTGGTTAAATGTTTTGAGGACTCGTTCACCGGCTGATGCTGTTAATTACACTTGTGTCGTTGATAATGACTCGGGCGAACCAGACAAACGGGTTTCGTTACTTGCGATCATTGGTAAGTTTAAGGGACGGTCTGGATGGGGTTTGGTTCAGCCGGGCTGAGAATCGGTCCAAATTTTAACTTTAAACAAGAGCATTTTCTCATTAAATCTTCACTGGTGGTCGCAATCCTTCTAACTAATAAGGCCATCTCCGTAGAATGCTTCATTTAGCATGGCCCTCTCTCGTAAAAGTGAGTCGAGCCTTCGTGATATCTCCCCCGTGACTTCCATTTTGCATGGGCGCCACTATCACCCTAAAAGGTCTTGCAGATGAACCACACTGAACTTGAACACTCGAAAATTGGGAGCAGATAGTGCATCGAATTAGGCCCCCTGGTTATCGTAGGTTACTAGTTAGCTTAGTCGTAATCTCATTATGGCAAGTGCTGTGCTAAACTGAAACCTTTTTCGCCATATTTTTGTAGTTAACCCTGTGTTAGTAACCAGCAACAACAATGGAGAGCCGGAAACGCCCTATGTCGTTAAAGACGAAATAGAAGAGTTAAACTGCACGACCAAACGTAGCTTTCCCTCAGCTAACTTCAGTTGGCGGTACCAATCATTAGACTGTACAGATTCCTCGAACTGCTCACCAAACAAAAAGTGGAAGCCAGTTTCAAGTGTAATTGGACGCGTAGATCCACGCTCTCCCAAGACCAGCGTTCTTATTGTACCACCGAACATTGACAAAATGTATTTCAAGTGCACGGCAGTAAATCCTGTAACCCGTAAAAAGGACTCCATAGTCTACAAGTTTTTGCGAAGAGGTAGATATCAGTAAGCCCCGTAAAAAGTTTTGATATTTAGTTTCGAAAGCGCCAACTGTCCATTTGAATTTTCTTTGGCCAAACAATAAGAATGTTATTGACCAAGCTCGGTAGGTTTTGTGTGGAAGAACAACGTTGTTCTTGTTTATTTATTATCCCCACTGCGCACGCGGTCTGACTTGCAATCTTGTTCAAGATTCTCTTATAGACTTGCCGCCTGGGCAACGCTGACAATATTGGTAACATTTTGTGCGCGGTGGAGAGGGTTCGAAAGTTAGTATATTAAGATTTGCCTGAAAATATTAATTAACTTAAAACGAAAAACACCAAAGAGATAATAATAAACCCTAAAGGATCAAGAATGGTTGAGGATGGAGAAGAGTAACACGGTTTACTAATGACGAACTTGAAAAATCTAGGCTAAACTTTTCAAGATGCGCAAACTGTGAAAAAGCTCCTTTAATGTCACCATCTTGTTGTTATGCATCAGGAAAAGTGGATCCCTCTGACGACCTGGTATTAATACCTGCTTCTTCGTTTGCAAGAAATGAGGGTGAAAATATTACGCTGCGCTGCGAAGCTAGCATTGGCAGGTTCAGCGAAGAGCCATCCTGGAATAAAGATAAAAAGACCTTAAAGATCGATCAAGGCCGGATGAACGTTAAAAGATGGACAGATCAAAAATTGATAAGTCAGCTACACATTCAGAATGCCACGTTCGAGGACGCTGGTCTTTATGAGTGTAATGCTGTGAAAGAGACAGGTGAAAGAGATCAAAAGTCCATAAGACTGACGATTAAGAGTAAGTAAAGAAAAGCCACTATTTACCGTATTAAGCTAAAATGCATGATAAAATGATACTCTCAACTTGATCGTTTCTTAGTCTAGTCCCTGAGCTCTGCTCTATCTACAGAAAGTGAACCCTCCTGGGCTCAACCCGTGCGTAAAAAGGGGAGGGTACAGTTGAAGACTGGACTGAATTCTTTTCAGTGTGATACTGTGTATAGTTCCAGTTGAGTTCATTCCATTTGGCCCTGGAATCTATAAAGAATTACAACGGCAATGATTTACATTTGTTGCACTAGCCTTGTTTTCCTTTTCTTTATTCAAGTTTGTAGATGTATTCAATATAGCTGAATTCAATTTTCTCTATTACTGTATGTATAGCCTACGAGCAGGCTCGCGTTGGAGCGCAAGCGCGCGCGGCGTACCCGCTAGCGCGAAATCGAGCGACGAAGCCGCGAGAACGAGAGGACTCCTACCCACCGGGTCGCTTTGCTCTTCACCGCTCGCGCGCGTAACTCAAAGGTGAGCCTGTTCGCAGACTACTGTATATAGGTCTTAGCATAGAAGAGCCACACCCAGTGGCTACTATTACTATTACTATTACTATTACTATTACTATTACTATTACTATTACTATTACTATTACTATTACTTTTACAATTACTATTACTATTACTATTATTATTATTATTATTATATTGTTATTGTTCTTATTATTAGGAAAGAAATTACACAGTGACTCACATAAATAAGCATTCTCTGGAGCTCTAACGTTAATTTTCTTGCGAATTTTATTGCAGAGTTGGCGAAACCCTCTGTCCTTATAACTCCGAATATGACCATGAAAAAAGGTCAGAGCGTTGAATTATTCTGTAACGTCACTGCAAATCCTCAACCGAAAGAAGTCGTTTGGACGAGAAACGGAGAAATAGTAACACCGAAAAGGACCAAGGTAAACGACTGCAAGCAGCTAGTAAGTGATTTCTACGAAGTAAAAGACGCAGCTGAATCTAGTGATGGAGTGTGGAGATTACTTGTTTGCTCTCCAAGCGATGCTCAACACACTGGATCTTACAAATGTGTAGCTACAAACATCAAGGGAAATGGTTCTGCTACAACGCATTTGGACATTTTGGGTAAGTAAAGGATCGTTAAGTTAATATGGTCTCTACAAGAGAAGACTTAGCCCGTAGTTTTCATTGTCGAAGTTTGAAATGTGAAAGGTGAACTGATCAACAGGACACGAGCGTATCTGAGTCCCCGACAGGAATCGAACCCATGCCGTCCCGAACATCGGGCGGGCGCTCTAGTTGTTAAGCAACATGACGCGTAATTGCATTGGACCATACTGGTGTCACTATCGAGGAGGTCTTAAAATGGAAAGGTTACGCTTCGCTAGTTTTCGTCTGTATAATGGCAATAAATAACTCTTCGATCGCTTTAAAGTTATTCATAAACGGAATTCGTTCTTAACCTGTTTAGGCTATATCACGTAGCTACGCGCTCTGAAAAAAAAAATTGGCATCAAGCAATCTTCTCTTTCTTCCTTACCTCACTGCTTGAGAAATGGACTTTGTCAGAGGAGACTGCAAATTAAGGTGACTAGTACCGTCCTTCAGGCGACATAATACGTCTCTGTACGTTCTTTTCTCGTAGAACGGCACTCTTTCATTGTAAAGTTTAACGAACTTCCTGTTGATATTTTCAGAAAAACCAAAATCATTGGTGACGTTTTCTGAAAACGGCAGCACGTTAACGCTGACGTGTAACGCCACTGGTAATCCTGTTCCTTTAGTATACTGGGAGAAGGACAACGGCGATGGTCAGTTTGTTCCGCTTGAAGGTACTGAGGATAAGCGCCACTTGGGCCAAAATGTTATAGAGGTGGAACTATCCGAGGAGACTTACGGAACGACGTACCGTTGTGTGGCGAATAACACTCAAGATCACGATTTCTATGATTACCCCCTCCAAGGTGGGCATCTTTTTGCTCTTATCTTTTAAACACATTAATATCAATAGGCCATAATCATTTTCTGGGTATTGGACTGGAACTAGCTTGCAACTGAGACTAATGCGGGGAGTCTGTTCAAATGCAAATGACATTGATTTCTATTTAATGTTATTCCACCGCGTGAGTCTCTATTGTAAACTAATTCCACTCCAATACCAAGAATACGAATGTGGCTTATTGAGTTCGTTGTGGAAATAAGCAAGTATTGAGACAATGATGTTAACGCCCACATCATGGAGCCTTCACAGCTCGTAGATTCTTCTTCTTCTTCTTCTTCTTCTTCTTCTTCTTCTTCTTCTTCTTCTTCTTCTTCTTCTTCTTCTTCTTCTTCTTCTTCTTCTTCTTCTTCTTCTTCTTCTTCTTCTTTCTTCTCCATATCTTCACAACTTCTGCATATTTAATTTGTTCAGTTTTTAATGCCGTGCTCTCTCCTCCTTCAGGTCCCAACGTAGGAGAATATACTGGTAACCGGCCAGACAGTAAGGCATTTTCAAAGGGCGCCATGATCGTTGTGATCGCTTGTAGTAGCTTTTTGATCTTGTTGCTTCTTTTGATCATTTTCATTCTGTATCGACGAAAGAAGCGGTATGGCGGGTTTTTCATCTTCACACTTCCACCTTCTCCTGATTACATCATGACGTTAGACCCCGAGAGGTCTTTGTTAGAGCAGACAAACAGACTTCCCTATGATGCTCAGTGGGAATTTCCGAGGGAACGTCTCTCAGTAGGTACGTAGTGTGTGTTGTTATCATTGCAAATAAAAAGCCCAAAATGTGTGTACGGTGACAGCCTGGACACTAGAACTTCGAGCAGGACTGAAGACAACTCATCTGTTCTTTCCGCCCAGTACCCCATTACACCCATATCCATATCCCGAACCCTATAACCTGTTTTACAGGTTACAATGCGCCTAAAATGCGCATAAATTATCAGCGTTCGCCCAGTATACTTGAAAATGTAGCGTAACTTACTTTCAAACTTACACCACGGCGTACCGAAAAATTAAATACATGTATTGTACTTCTTATTCTTCTTATTACCTTAACTCACAGTGAGGCCTTTGGGATCAGGAGCGTTTGGCCAAGTATTCCTTGCGCAAGCGACTGGTATTGTCGCGTTTGATCCCCGTGGCAGCACGAAGCGTAAATCTGGTCGCAGACGGTCAAGGTTTGGATCCACAAGTCGACCTTATTACAATGACAAACGGGTCACGGCAGTTGCGGTGAAAAGTTTGAAAGGTACACTGTTTATCATTCATCGTGATTACCGTCTTCTTCCCACTGCGAGCAACCTTAAGCAACATTTCTCCAAAAGAATTGAATGAAGTCTTTTGCAGTTATTTGATGAGTTGGATTGTGATCATTTTTGCTAAGTATGCTGTGTACAATTTTTGAGTTATTTTTTTGTAAAAAAAATACCTCTTAGTCGGCGCGTCGAGTATGTTATGGACGGGTCAATGGGTGAGTGAGTGAGTGAGTGAG